TTTCTTCTCTCACTTTTTTTTCCTCACATTTCTCTTCTATTTATAGAGAAAAAAATAGAATTTTCAGATTTTTTTTTTATTATTTATTTTTTAATTAAAAAGAATTTCCACTTTCCATTTTTCTTATTTTTTTTTAAAAAAAAAATCCCCACTTTTCTTTACTTTTATTTTTTAATTTCTCACTTTTTTTACTTTTAATATATTTAAAATCCCACTTTTTTACTTTTCTTTTTTATTTTCCACTTATTTTACTTCTTTTTTTTAATTTTCACTTACTTTTACTTTTATTAAAAAAAAATCATATACCCTTAATTTTATTTTTTAATTCCAAATTTATTTTACTTTTCATTTTTCTAAATTTTCACATTTTTTTACTTTTATTTTTTTAATTTTCCACTTTCTTTTACCTTTTTTATTAAATAATTTCTACCTACTTTTACTTTTACTTTTTAATTTTATATTTCTACTTTTAGTATTTTTTTTAATTCCCATCCGAAATTTGTTTTTTTAAATAATAATAATTAATTAATTAATTTTTAATTTGTTCGGTTTTTTAATTCATTTTATTTAAAATAAAGATAAAAATAAAAATAATACTAATAGTAAAAATTGACTTTTAAAATTATTATTAATTTTTACCCTAAAAAGTGTATCAAATCTAAAAAATATATATATTAAATTTCTGAAAATATTTACATAGTAGAAGGTGATAAAAATTCAAATATAGTCAAAAATTAGGTGCTCACAGTATCCATCCCTCATTTCATGAAGGGCCATGGTGATATAATTGAATGTAACAATTCTGATGGTCGACGCATATTGTTAGTGTATCGTTGGCATTTATCGCACCTTGCTACAACATTTTTTGCTTCCTCTTCCATTTTTGGCCAATAGTATCTCGCTCTTATTAATGTCTTCACCAACGATCCTCCCCCGGCATGATTTACACAATGCTCCTCGTGTACTTCTCTCATTACGTATCTCGTTTGTGATAGTCCAAGGCATCGTGCTAAAGGTCCACCAAATATTTTGGGATATAAGTTCCCACGAATTAAGCAATACTGAGCAGGCTTCAACTATAACAATCGGGATTTCTTTTTATCCTTAGGCAAATACCATACTGCAAAAAGTTCACAAACTCGTTTCTCCAATCCCAAGTTAAATTATTAAAATTTACCTCACTCTTAGTTTGGTCGAGGGCTGAATGAAATAAATGTACCACAATAACATTTTTTGCATTTGTTGCATCAGCAACATACGCGAAATTTGCCAATGCGTCTGGCTCTACATTTTCCTCCCTGGGTATTTGTACAGCTTTCCATGTCTGGAACTGCCTAAGCAATTTTCTTATCTTTTCGAGGTACTGCTGCATTCGTGTCTCTCTTGCCACGTAAGTCCCCTGTATTTGATTGACTACTAGTTGCGAGTCACTTTTCATCATAATTTTTTCAATATCAAGCTCTCGTGCGAGTTCCAAGCCTGCAATCACAACTTCATACTATCCCTCATTGTTAGTAAATGGGTAATATTTTACCACATGTCTTATTATTTTTCCCGGGGATGGAATTAAAATAATCCCCAAACCTGCTCCTTTAACATTTGAGAAACCATCAGTAAACAAGGTCCAAGTCCCCGGATGAGCTCTGGTAAATATTCATAGCTCTTTTCTATTTCAGGAACTAAGCTTGAGCTAAACTCTGCTAACACCTGAGATTTTATAGCGGTTCTAGGCTGATATATAATATCATATCCACGGAGTTCTATAGCCCATTTAGCTAACCTTCCTGATAATTCTTGTTTATGCAATATATTCCTTAGTGGAAAAGCAGTTATAACAAAAATAGGATGACATTGAAAGTAAGGTCTTAAATTCCTTGATGCCATAATTAAAGCTAAAGCAAGTTTTTCTAGGTAAGGATACTGTTTCTCAGCATCTAGTAAAGACTTACTAACATAATAAATCGGAGATTGTTTACCTTTATCTTCTCGTACCAATATCGCACTTACCGCTACTTCTGACATAGCAATGTAGATGAGCAACCTCTCTCCATCTTTTGGTTTTGATAATAGAGGTGGATTTGATATATACGCCTTTAAGTCCTTCAGAGCTTGTTGACACTCGTCAGTCCATTCAAACTGATTTTGTTTTTTCAATACTGAAAAGAACTTAAAACATTTTTCCGATGACTTGGATATAAACCTTCCCAGAGCCGCTATTCTACCTGTTAATCTTTGTACTTCTCTCTTGCTCGTGAGTACATCTGGTATTTCTTCAATAGCTTTGATATGTGCGAGATTTACTTCAATACCTTTGTTAGAAATAAGAAAACCTAAAAATTTACCTGAAGATACGCCAAAAGCGTACTTTTCCGGATTCAACTTCATGTTCTACTTGCGGAGAACTTCAAAGGTCTCAGCCAAATGCTGAAATTGATCCCTTGCCTGTGTTGACTTGACCAATATATCATCTATGTAGACCTCCATAGTTTTTTTCAAGTGTTCTTGAAATATTTTGGTCACCAATCTTTGATATGTGGCTCCAACATTTTTCAAATTAAATGGCATGACTTTATAGCAATTGGTCCCCCTCTACGTGATAAATGAGGTTATTTCCTCATCTAAAGGGTCCATTTTTATCTGATTATAACCAGAATAAGTATCTAAAAAGCTTAAAACCTCATGGCATACGGTAGAATCAATTAATTAATCTATGTGAGGTAAAGGAAATGAATATTTAGGACAAGCCTTATTTAAATCAGTATAATATACATAGACTCACCAGTTTCCATTCTTTTTTGAAACCACAATAGTATTAGCTAACCAGTCAAGGTACTTTATCTCTCGTATTGAACCGGTTTTCAGAAGTTTTTGTACTTCATCCTGGATCACTTGATTTTTGAAGGCCTCTTGCTTTCTTTTCTTTTGCTTTACAGGTGGATGTAGCGAATCGTCATTTAGATTATGAGTCATCACCTCTGATGGTATACCTGTCATATCTGAATGCAACCAAGCAAAGCAATCTGCATTAGCATGTAAAAATTTAATTAACTTACCTTTTATTTTTGGGCTCAAATTTGCTCAGATGTAAACTTTTCTATCGGCCAGTTGACAAATAATATCACAGCTTTGAGCTCCTCCGTGGTTGTTTTGATGTTCTCATTTTCCTCTGGATCTTGAATCACATCAGGTCTTGAATTCACATCAGTCTGATCTTGTGTGTTTTCAGTTGAGGTATGGATATAAGCGTCCCCAACTGAATTCTTTAATTGCTATTTCGCATCTGCATCATTGGCTATTGTATTTGCAATCACCACTGAATTAATATTCCGTGAAGCCTGTTGATCTCTCCGGATTTGTTGGATCCCCCACTGTGAAGGGAATTTGATAACTTTATGCAACGTGGATGGAACAACATCCATATCATGAATCCATGGCTTTCCCAAGATCATATTATAGGCCATGTCCGCGTCTATTACCTAGAGCTTTGTATCTTTGATGACTCCTTCTGCAAACGTAGCCAGCACAACTTCTCCTTTCGTAACGACGCTTGAATTATCAAATCCAGATAAAGACCGTACCTTTGGTATGACCTTATCATTAACTTGAATTTCATTTACCACTCTTAGCAAAACGATATTTACTGAGCTACCTGTATCAATCAAAACTCATTTTACATTAGTATCATGTACAAGTAAAGATATTATCAGTGTGTTGTTGTGAGGGATCATCAATCCATTTGCATCTTCGTCATCAAACATTATACGGTCTCCTTCCAAGACTTGGCGAACTTATTTCCCGTGAGTGACTGTGACCTTTGATGTCTTTTTTGCAGCTTTGTACGTTGCCCCCATTGACTTTTTCTCCTCCGGTTATGACGTTTACCATTATCTTTGGTGATGGAGGCTTTGGGAAGGGGGGGGTGCATGTTTTTCATGTATGATTGTCTCCCTTTCTCACTAATAGATCAGTAAGATAACCTTATTTCAGTAGATATTCAATTTCCCCTTGCAAAAGCTTGCGGTTTGTTGTTCTATGGCCATGGTCATTGTGAAACTCACACCATAATTATGGGTTCCTTTTGTTAGGATATGATCCCATCTCTTTTGGCCATAATACCTTTTCTCCCATTCCTCTTAGAACAACTACCAATTCAAAGGTGCTGACGTTAAAGCTATAATCTCATATTCTTTCTTGAGTACTGGAATCGTTGCTTCATGCGTCTTGCTCCTTTTTGAAGCTGGAAGAAGAACTCGCCTCTTTTTGCCTTGATCTTGAATTAAATCGTGAATTCTCTCGTTTAGGTCGGGAATCTCGCCCCGCAGGTCCCATGTAAGGCTCGTACTTATTTTTACCAGATCTTCTCTTTGATTCCGAGCGTCTTGAACCTGATCTTTCATCTTCCCTTGGTTGTGTAACCGTATCTTCTTCTATCCGCAACTTCGTGTTGTATCGATTGTACACATCATTCCAAGTCATTGCAGGAAACTCCCGAAAATTTTCTTTCAATCTCCTCGTGGCTTCTGAACTTTTCTCGTTCAAGTTGCTTGCAAATGCCATAGCCGACCAGTTATCAGGTACTCGCGGCAGCATCATTCTCTCACGTTAGAATCTATCAATGAATTCTCTTAGCAATTCTGTACTCCCCTGTTTAACTTTGAAGATATCCTCCATCCTTTTTTCAACTTTTTGAGCCCCCGAATGAGCCTTTATAAATGAATCTGCAAGCTCAGCAAAAAAATCAATTAGTTTTCAGGTAAGAGTGAGTACCAGGTTAATGCCCATTTTGTGAGAGTTTTGCATGGTTAATCTCCTGCTTGGTTAAGTCATTGACTTTCACGCCTGTAGTAAACGCAGTAACGTGATCCCGTAGGTCGGATGTCCCGTCATATTTAGGAATATCATGCATTTTAAACTTTTTGGGAATTGACAAAGGTGTTACACTTGGCTTTCAGGGTTGCTGTGAATACTTATCAATATCCACACCTTTGATCACATGAGGCATGCCAGGTATTTGTTCTATACGTTCATTTTGCTCCTTCAACTGTTTCTGCAAAGTTAATACTAAACTTTGTAAATTGGAATTATTTGGTGTATCTGACCCTCCATCACGAGATTCATTGGGCATCTCTCCACTTCCAAAGTTATCGAGTCCTGAACGCGGATTTTCCGAGGTGATATTAATTGGTGGTGGAGTTTGTGCTGCATTGGGTAATCCTCTAGCAAAAGCCTGCAGTGCTTCGTTCACGTGTTGTGCAATCAACTGCTTCAAAGCATCTTGCTCAACGGTCTGGTCACCTTAATGTTGTCCATTAGTGCGCGAAGCAGACCTTTCATGTGAACTTTCTCGTGAGTGCTGAGGAGTAGTTGTGGGTATGTGATGTGGTGGAGTTTCACCTTATTGATTCAATTGGTTGTTCTTGTGAGCAGTAGACATATTTTGTTGCTAAAAAGTGAAGTTTCAAAAGTGAACAGATTATCAGATTCGCGGTAACGGAACCAACTTGTTTAACCCAAAAAGAGATTTTTCGGTCAAAATTAATATCAAGAAGAAAACGGGTTAGTGATAACTAAAATTACTTCACTTTCTTGGTAATAAAAAGAATAATGAAAACAATATATAAGGAAAGAGAACTTAAAGTAGATCGCTAATCTTCCCCAGAATTGCGATTTGAACCTTTTAAATAAAGTAAATGACTAATTGCATATATTGATAAAAATTCAGATGCCTTTACAAATGAGGATCGGGTCTTTATATAAGGATACGTAATTACAACGGTTTCATACTTAATTCTGGCTTGTTAATGACATTAATTGCTTTTATTGCACGTTACTACATATAATTATAACGGCGACATTAATGATTGAGGATTCTTCATAACCACGATCAATGCCGATTTCTTTTCTTTATTTATAACAGTTTCATGAACCTTCCTTCTTTATGGTCTTCATCCATTCCGTACTTATTTCTTCTATTCCAGCCGTCAAGTAGGTACCTTTTTTGGCAAAATACAGGAGGAATTCCGCTCGTGCCTTTTCAATTTTTTTAATTTACTGAACTGGATCTGCCACTTATCATATTGTCACTTATCATACTTTTCCACGTGTCATACATTTTTTCCACTAATATCGCCCTTATAGAATTTTCAAAAGGTCCAAACACGCTCAATTATTCATTCACTTGCTCACCTAATACACTTGGAAGTCGAGCTTGACCAAACTACTTATATTCATATATTTACTATTTTATCCCCCAATTATTACTTTCCTATTCCTTTTCTTTTGGTTAATTTTACTTTTGATCCTTCTGTCATTAGCAAATACTAATGTTGCTTCATCTGTTATTTTCTTAGCATATTTAATTTTGATTTTAATTAGATTGTACGGTTTTAATCCCTCTAAATAAAAAAATGCTTTAGTTTGATCATGTTTAGAACTATGTTATATAAAGTATGAATAACAAAACAAATTCAACATGCCACTGTGTAATCAACTGGTAACAATTAATAATTTGTTAAATTATAAACCTTCAAAAAAAAAAAAATCAAAAGTAGTTAAACGTTAATTGTGTTCAATCAAATATTACAAAAATCATAAATTCAGGAACTGGAAAAGCGCAAAATTTTCTTCCTCTTTCAATATAGTTTCACGTGAATTAATAGGTTTACTTGGCCGCCGCCCCCAAACCAAAACCCAGACAACAATCCACAACGCACCAAAAGAATAAAAGGGCAGCCGGTACACTAAGCTCTCACTATACGCGAGATCAAAAAAGAGTCAGACCACAAGAGTATTGTACACAATCTTATCTTATATTTTTATAAAAAAAACTATTTTTAAGGCTTGAACCGGTAATCTCCGTGTCAGCAACTTTACCTTGGCGCCAAGGCTCCCTTCGACGTACCAAAAGAATGAAGAAAAGAAATAAAAATGGAAGTAGTATTTGGAAGGGAGTGGTAGAGTTTGAACGAGACAAGGAAACTACAGCTGTGTTTTGTACGAGGCCTGCGTTGTCACGACGCTTATTGCCACACGAAATATCCCTTGGTTCTCATATGTCACACTATTTTCGGGGAAAAAACGAGAGGTCACAAATTTCACAAAATACACGTGTCAATTTTTCATTAAAACGCGCTTCCTTAGCCCAAGTCCTCATCTGCGTATATAAATAGGGTACTCACGTCTCCATAACATTATGTGCTTCGCCGAGTCTCAACAAAACAATTCCTAAACAGACCCAAATTCTCTCTTCCCATCCCTTATTTTGCTGCTTAATATTCTTTGATTCACAAGTTCAAATCTTTCTTCTGTTAAAGAACAGTGAAGGAGGTCGCACTGCGATTCTACATCTGCTTATTTCACCAATTTTTGTAAGTTTAATTTCCGTTACTTTATATCTGTCTGTTTTCCTTTATGATTTTGCTCTTTGTCGCTGTTGATTTGGATAATGCTTGGCGTTATTGTGATTAAAGTTCTAATTTTCCCCCTTATTTTGCGGCGAATAGCACCTTCTTTGTACAATTTTCATAATTTTTCTGGCTGTTCGACCACATCAAAGGGCCCTTTAACAGATTGGTTTTTCTTTTGATGTTAGGAGAGCCCTTTTATTACTATTTAGGTTTGTCTTTGAAAAATTAGTGTTTGGTTTGTCTGTTGAAGAAAACATATCAAAGCTCTTAAACATTGTTAGACTTTAATTTCTTATTGGTGAAATTGCATGGATGAAATTGACAGAATAAAATCGGTTATACCTTAGATGCTGATTAAACCTATTTAACTATTTTTAATTTTTTTGAAAAAATAAAAACTTTTTTTGTTAGTTATGGCTTTATTCTATGCAGGGGTAGTAATGGCTTAAAAATACCACTCCCTATATTTTTTGTCTGGGTTTTTTCTTATGGAATTATTTGTATATGATTTACCTTCTCAAATGTTACTACTATTGTTTTTGTGAACTATGTAGTGTATCTCAACGTTCAACGACAAAGTGGAATTGAAAAATCTTTTGTATATTGAGACACATAGTAAACTTACACCATCATGCTTTGTTTTCTGCTTGATAGTTACATCGTCTTTCAATGCAGTTATCTGTCTTTTTCCTTATTGTTTTTTGAACTTTTGTTTTTCTGAAGGAAATAATTAGCTAAGCAAGATGAAGATAAAGATATATATGAAATATAAGAAAAGTAATTACAGATAACCAATAACAATCATATGAATAAACTAATTCTAAAAGGCTGCTACTAGATGTAGTATATGAATTTAAATAGTCCGATCTCCAATTCCATTATACATTTTTGATTTCTGATTCAAAGAGTAATTTGAAGTTAGTTGTCTTTTACTAAATTTACTGAAATTATAATGTCGCTTAGTGCCCGCCTTGAAGGCATGGCCCCTGAGTCAAAGAGTTTAAGAGTAAAGGTATTAAAACTGTATAGAACCACAATTTGGGGCTCATGTTTATCCTTATATTCCTACTCATACTTCCAGGAGCTACCCTTTTAGTTACCAGAATAGATATAAGGCAAGCTCTTTTGGTTCAGTATAGAAAGAGCCAACTTAAACATAGTAACAACCATTTACTGGTTTGTACCAAAGTTCAAAAGCACATACCATTTACAACTATCAAGGCCAAACTTCTTATTGTTTTCATTCATAATTGCTGATCTATATGCTAATTGGGCTTAGTTGTCCATAAAATTGTCAAGGCTTCTTATTGTTTTTTTCTGACCATCTTATTTCTTTTCAATATAATGAGCAGGTAGGAATCGATGAACTAATGGACTCTAAAGGAGGGAAGAAGAAGTCTAGTAGTAGTTCCTTATGTTACGAAGCTCCCCTTGGTTACACTATTGAGGACGTTCGACCAAACGGAGGAATCAAGAAATTCAGATCCGCTGCTTACTCCAACGTGAGTCAACTTAGCCTTCACCATGTGTATCTAAGTTGTTTATATCTTTTGTGTATACATGCTAACTGTTTGCTTATCTCTGTCTTTTTTGTATGCAGTGCACTCGCAAGCCATCCTGAGATTTCCCGTGATCTAGAATAAACCACCAAAGGTGGTTCAAGTAGACAGTAGTTTAATTTTAGAATTCTGTTCTTCTCAACTCTTTTTCTTCATGCCTCATCCTCGTGATAATCTCTTCCAAAAAGTAGTCCTTCCCAAGCACTCTCTTTCAAGCAAGATGGCCGTGCCAGTTTCTGCCATCGGATTCGAAGGATACGAAAAGCGTCTTGAGATTACCTTTTTCGAGTTAGGAATGTCTGATGGCCCGGGATGTGGCCTACGGTCTCTCTCTAAAGACCAATTGGATGAAATTCTGACACCGGCTGCTTGTACCATAGTGTCTTCATTGGCAAATGATGAAGTCGACTCTTATGTCCTTTCAGAGTCTAGCCTCTTTGTCTACTCATACAAGATCATCATCAAAACTTGTGGCACTACAAAACTGCTGCTGTCGATCCCTCCCATTCTTAAGTTAGCCGATGCACTTAACCTGAAAGTGAAGTCAGTGAGGTACACTCGTGGTAGTTTTATCTTCCCTGGGGCTCAGCCATATCCACATCGTCACTTCTCTGAAGAAGTAGCCGTGCTTGACAGCTATTTCGGTAAGCTTGGTGCAGGCAGCAGTGCATATGTGATGGGTAATGCTGATAAACAACAGAACTGGCATGTCTATTCTGCTTCAGCTGAATCTGCCAATGCCAATAACCCGAATCCAGTTTATACACTGGAGATGTGCATGACTAATCTGGACAAGAAGAAGGCATCCGTATTTTTCAAGACTCACTCAAGCACTGCTGCTGAGATGACTGAAGTTTCAGGCATTCGGAAGATTCTTCCAGAATCAAACATATGCGACTTTGACTTTGACCCTTGCGGTTACTCAATGAACGCCATCGAGGGGCCAGCAATCTCTACAATTCACATCACACCTGAGGATGGATTCAGCTATGCAAGTTTTGAAGCAGTAGGTTATGATTTCAAAGCCGTAAACTTGACTGCCATGATCGAAAGGGTGTTGTCCTGCTTCGGACCTGCTGAGTTTTCTGTATCAGTACACTGTGACACTCCTGGAAAGGAACTTTACACTGAGTCCGGCCTGGACATCATCGGATACGCCTCTGGAGAAAAGACTACTGAAGTGCTTGGTGAGGGAGGATCACTTACGTACCTCACATTCAGTAGCAATGGTAGCTGTGGATCCCCCAGGTCAATCTTCCATTGCAGTTGGAGCGAGAGCGAGGATGAGGAGATGGAGAAGATATATTAATGAGAAATTTGTTTATTCTCCTTTTTAGTATGCAATACTATAGTTGGTACAGATCCAGCCATGCTTTTCTTATTGGTTTATGAGTCTAGTAGTATTATCAGGTTTTGTTGTTTATATTCAGTAATATGGTATGTCTGGGCATCAAATAAACAGTCTGCGTTGAGTCTATGCAGATCGCAGCTTTATGACGTTTGGTATCAATATTCAGTGTTATGTTGTGTAATAAAACTGTTTGAGACTGATAACATAGTGTTGTCACTGTGGATATATTTGTATTATATGTTCTATTGATGAGGAAATAGTTGTGTTGTATGTCCTATTGAAATCTTGCTCGTCAACTAAAATCGGCTCTCCCCGTTTTTGACAATTTTTTTTTTTTATCTAAAGCACTTATTAGTAAACTGCTGACCTCATCAAGCAGCAATCTGTAACTTCTAAATAGTTCTTAAAAGTAGTTCTGAAATTTGAACTTTTCCTCAATAATGATTTTTGGAACAAATCTCTACGAGTGAAAAATGTTTTGAAATTTTTTATCAAACAATTATTGGATTGCTCGTTCTTGCTAAGTCACTTATTTCCAAACGGACTGCACTCTCAATCGGGGCTTAAAAACTATCAGCAAAACTACATCTCTATCTGAATCTCACTCTCCCCCTGAGTTATCCTGCACCACAAAATCCCAACAATAATCTTATAGTGCCAGGCAGTGAATCTAAATTAGGTTTTTGTTTTTGGCATTTATTGGCTTTGGATATATTTGCTTCTATATGAGCAGACTATGTGTTAATAATAATATTAGTGATTATTTATGTTCTAGAAAAGTCATAAATGGTGAAAGACAGAGGAAGAATATGGCGTTACAACCTAATGATTCTAAGGTTTTGTTTGGGCATGAGACAGAAGGGAGTATATGTTCCTCTTTAACTCTTCTAGTGAATACAGATGGAGGTTTTTATGCCATTGGATCAAATTCACATGTAAATAATCTGGACCGTCCATTTGTAAAGGATAAAGATTACACATTGGATTCTTTGGGCACATGACCAAGCTGAGTCACTGTATAGGTTTCTGTTATTTTATAGTCCAGTAAATTGTAGACACATGTATAGCTATTTACATTTTTCATTTATTTTCTTTCAGAGAAATACTTGTATAAATACAAACAAAGAGAAATGAGAAAGAACACAGAAAATTTTCCAATTCATTCGTTCATCTTCTACATGGTATCAGTCGCCACTTATATTCTGGACTTCTTCTGCTTTCTTTCTTTTTCATCTCTATTTCTTTTCTCCCTTCAATTCAAATGGTTTCTTCATCTGATGCTCCTTATCAGGATGGTGGTTCTAGCACCTCTCCTACTATTGATGCTAGCCATCCTTATTTTCTTCACCCATCAGATTCACCCGGTATGACTCTGGTCACTTCTGTCTTCGATGGTCGTGGCTATGGAGGTTGGAGGAGGTCTCTTCTCATTGCCCTTTCAGCTAAAAATAAGTTGGGCTTCAATGGGGCTAAACTCTATCACCTACAAAAGAAAATAAGTGACTTAATGCAAGGATCAAGTGATATTGCTGGATATTTCACTAAATTGAAGCTATTATGGGATGAACTTGATGCTCTTTACACTACTGTTACATGTTCTTGTGCCTGCACATGTGGTGGCAAGGTGAAATTGGTTAAGTCTCTTCAAGATGAAAGGTTGATTCAATTTCTCATGGGCTTGAATGATACATATTCTCCTGTTAGGAGCAACATCCTGATGATGTCCCCTCTCCCCAACATCAACATTGCCTATTCTCTGTTAGTTCAAGATGAGAGACACTGGAAAAGCGTATGTGAATCCTCAGTTTCTTGGTGACTCTTCTTCTTTCCTAGCCACACATCAAAATATTTCAGGACAGAAATCTCAATCATCAGACTCTAAAGGGAAGAAGAATAACTTGATATGTTCTCATTGCAAGAAACCAGGCCATTCAGTTGACAAATGCTATCGAATAATTGGTTTCCCTTCTGATTTTAAGTTTACCAAAACTCCTAAGTTTCATGGATCTGTCAAGGGCAATGCTGTTTTGAGTTTCCCTGCACAACCTACAGGAAACACTGGAGGAAATCCTATTACACAAGACCAATTCTCTCAGTTAGTTCACCTGCTTAACCATGCACAGCTTGGTCACACATGAAGCTCAACCACAAATGTTAATGCTAATGTAGTGCAGTGTGCTGGTAACATCTTCAACAATCCTTCTGCTTATCTCACATATGCCAATACTCATTCTTGGATTATTGATTCGGGGGCTTCTGAACATATGTATTATGATACTAAGTTCTTTACTACTCTTTCTCCTTTACCTACTCTATTGTTCATTAACTTACCTAATTCCTTTGGGGTTAGGGTGACTCATAGTGGGACAATTACTCTTTTCTCTGATCTTGTTCTACATAATGTCTTATTTGTCCCTTCTTTCAGGATCAATCTCATTTCTATCAACAAGTTTTGCACCCAGTTCCATTGTCTTCTAATGTTTTCTTTTACTAATTGTCTATTGCAGGACCCTTTAGTGAAGACCCTTCTGGTTCTTGGTGAAGTAAGGAATGGGATCTATCATCTTCATTCAGCTCTTTCTAAGTTTTAGAGTTTTTTCAAGAACAATTTAGTTTCTAAGTCTAGTTTTTTAGCTTCTCCTTGTATTTCAGTTTCCTCTTCTGTTTCTGAATCAGTTCTTATTCCTGTAAGCAGCACTTTTGATGTAAAATTATGGAACATTCGACTTGGCCATATGCCTATTTCGGCAATGAAGAGAATCAGTTTTATTTCATCTTCTACTCTTGATTGTCCATGTGATGTTTGCCCTTTAGCAAGGCAGTCTAGATTGCCTTTCCATTCGAGTTATATCAAAATTACTGGTATTTTTGAGTTAATTCATTTGGATACATGGGGACCCTATAAGTCACCTACTTATGATGGTTTCAAATAATTTTTTACCATAGTTGATGATTTTAGCAGAGGTACTTGGACTTATCTCATGAGCACTAAAAGCAATGCCTTCTCTTTGATCAAATATTTTTTAGCTATGGTTGAGAGGCAATTTAATACTAAGGTTAAAAAGATTAGATCTGACAATGCTCTTGAATTGGGAGGGGGTTCTAGCATTTCAGAATTCTTTGCTTCTCAGGGTATTTTACATCAAACCTCTTGCACTACTACCCCTCAACAAAATGGGATTATTGAGAGGAAGCACAATCATCTTTTGGAGACTTCTAGAGCTTTATTGCATCAATTTAAGTTGCCTATCTCTTACTAGGGTGAATGCCTACTCACTCCTGCCTTTTTTTATCAATAGGTTCCCGTCTTCTGTTCTCAAAGGTCAAACTACATATCAAATTCTTTTTGGAAAGCCTCAATCCTATGATTATCTTAGGTATTTTGGGTGTTTGTGTTATGCTTCTACTCTGACACATAACAGGTCAAAATTTTCCCATAGAGCTATACCTTGTATTTTTTTGGGATATCCCCATGGGAAAAAGGGATATAAGCTCTTGGATCTTAACACCAAAAGAATTTTTGTTTCCAGGGATATTCAGTATCATGAGTCTGAATATCCCTTTTCATCTATCACCTCTATTTACTTCCCCTTCTCCTCCATCCTCCATAGTTGAGTCTACGTTTTCTAGTCCTAATCCTTCTTCCAGTTCTCCTCCTTCTTCATCTTCTTCACCTCCTTCCTCCTCTTCTTACCCTATTTCATCCCTAAGTCCATCTACCTACCCTATTTCATCCCCCAGTCCATCTCATGTTCCTACTTTAAGAAGATCACAGAGGGATCACATCACACATGCTTATCTCTCTGATTACATCTGTGGTTCAGTAGTTCTAACTGATTTAACTACTACTTGTTTTTCCCATCCCATCCCTCTCCCTATTTATTCTTTCACTTCTCTTTCTTTGACTAATCAACAGATGTTTAATTCTATTTTCAACACTTTTGAACCTACTAGCTTCTCTCAGGCTGTCCAACATTGTCACGACCCAAAATCCTAACCTGTCGTGATGGCGCCTATCTCAATATTAGGCAAGCCGAAAATCTCAATGAACCACAACTTCTAAATCTGAAAATATAATATTTAAATAAAATCCGCAAATCTTACAAATACCGATATAACCACTCCCAAAACCTGGTGTCACTGAGTACATGAGCATCTAATATGAATACAAGTCTGAAAAATACGGTCTATAATAGTCTGAGACCAAATACAGTAAACAAGGAGATAGAGAAGGAGAGACAAGGTCTGCGGAATACGGCAGCTACCTCAAAATCTCCTGAAAATCAACTGCGCGAAATGATCAATACCCGCTATGTCCGGGACATCTGGATCTACACACGAAATGCAGGGTGTAGTATGAGTACAACCAACTCAGCAAGTAACAATAATAACAAAGGAACTGAAGATAATGACGAGCTGCATAGTTATAGTTCACCTTCAGTAATTCCAGCAAAGAATAGACATGCTTTCAAATCCGACAGTTTAAATCAAATCAATTTTATACAGTCCAATTTCATGTAATCCGGATATAAAATCTTTCAGAGATTTCACAACAATGACAGATAGCAACCAAGT